CTTTTTTTTTTTTTTTTTTTGCGGTACACGGGCCTCTCACTGCCGTGGCCTCTCCCGCCGCGGAGCACAGGCTCCGGACGCGCAGGCGCAGTGGCCACGGCTCACGGGCCCAGCTGCTCCGTGGCATGCGGGATCCTCCCGGACCGGGGCGTGAACCCGCGTTCCCTGCATCGGCAGGCGGACTCTCAACCACTGCGCCACCAGGGAAGCCCTGTTAGTTTTTAATAATCAAAAAATCTTTAATTTGAATTATTTTTATCATTTGAATCATTGTTTATATAATTTGAAAAACATTAAATTAAATTTCATTTTGATATATATACTATATCTAGAGGGAGAGAGAGTAATGTCAATCAGACCAAGGTTTATATACTCATAATTCAGAACTCAAATCCAGCCACTGGATAAGAGATCGGCTATAGGAAGTACCTCCAGACTATAATCCACCTGCTTGACAGACTATGTATATGTCCTATCAATTATATTCTTTTTAAAAACGATCTTCTCTAATTTTCATTTTTGATCTACTTTCAAGACTCAGTTAATGCCATTCCTTCTTAACTGTGTTCTCCATTTGTCTCACCAAATATTTGATTTCCTAGAAAGTCTTCAAAATTCCCCCCTCAAACCCTCCTAAATTTCTACACTTCATGATAGCTCATTTTGCTGGATGAAATGTGATATCACATAGGAGATGCCTGAACTTCTATTTCAGGTTTTGTATATCCCTCAGGGTTCATCAATTTGTCTTTTTACATTCAACAGGAGTTCTACAGTGAGAGAAGAAACGTTGTCAAAATCTAAAGGTAAACACACTTGGACAACGGTACTTAAAACTGCAATGCAGAATCCTGAATAGTATTTTGTGTGGTTCACCTTCCCTCATGACTTCTGGAACTTCCTGGTATAAAAACAAACTTGTGGGGACTTCCCTGGCGGTGCAGTGGTTAAGAACTCACCTGCCATTGCAGGGGACATGGGTTCGAGCCCTGGTCCGGGAAGATCTCACATGCTGCAGAGCAACTAAGCCCATGCACCACAACTACTTAGCCTGAGCTCTAGAGCCCGCGAGCCACAACTACTGAGCCCGCATGTCACAACTACTGAAGCCGGCGCGCCTAGAGCCCGTGCTCTGCAACAAAAGAAGCCACCGCTATGAGAAGCCCGTGCACCACAACAAAGAGTAGCCCCCGCTCGCCACAACTAGAGAAACCTTGCACACAGCAACGAAGACCCAGCGCAGCCAAAAATTAATTAATTAATTTAATTTAATTTAAAAAAAACAAAGTTGTGGAAAACACACACTGATTCTGCCTATGTTTAAAATAATCCAGTATTTTCACCAACCCCAAACTGAAAAATACAAAATCTAACTATTTGAATTTCAAAAATCATTTTAATTACATTTATAAATTAAAGTTGTGAAATTGGAATAATCAAAATATTCAAGTACTGATGTAGAAAAATGAAGAATAAATTAATCCAGGTGTAATTTCGAGGCTATGATCATTACCATATGTCTCCTTAATTACCTTTCCCCTCAGGGACTTGATGTTTTGCAAGATTTACTCTACCAAAACAAATGAAAGTAATAATTGATGTTTTTTATTTTTAATGAATCACTGACATGTAATTGCCCACCTCAGATACTGATCAAGATGAGGAAACCAGTGTTGCACATGTAGTTGAAACAATTTCTTTAGAGGCAAACAATTTGGTCTCATGGAACAATGTACAGTTGCTATTAGCATCTTAGAAACAATGGAAACAACTGAAGATGTACTCTAGAGCTCAGACCTCTGTTTCACAATTAGTCTTCCATAGTCAAAGAATAAATTGGGATTAAAAAAACAGCTTTATCTTAATTCACAAATAAAAATAAAAAGCAAACAACCTAGAAAAGAACATCAAGATTAATTTACAAGAAGGATAGCTTTGAGGTGCCCCATGAAAAACGTGAGCCTGAACCTTACGCCAAGGGCAGAGGAGACAAATGAACATGAGTGATGAACCCTCAGCAACGTTCCAATTTCACTGACAAAGATTCAAGTAATGGATAAGAGAAGGCAAACATATCAGCAGAAGATAATGAAGACAATATTTTTGTTCGCTTTGTACACCTATTTAACTTCTATACAATCGGTTTTGCTTTGTTTAGTTTTCTCTGCCCTGAAAAGATAAATGCAGATGCATTCACATTCTCTGGAGACTAGAATCAGATGATCAAGTCAAAACAAATCCTTTTTGAAAGCACCCAATCTCATAGCAGATACAGTAAAAGATAAATCATTGGTCATTTTGAAAATTTCCTGCACAAGAAACGTGTTAAATGCACATGTCCTGAATTGACAGTTGATTAAGCTCCAACCTTAAAAACTAGGTTACTGAGTTTTGAAACTTTGAGCATAATGCAAGTGTCAGGTTTTTCATGCTTTTTTTAAAACAACGAACACAAAAGTAGTAAATATCACATCACACTGAATTCGTCTTAATCTCCACTTTGTTCATTCACAAACCACATAAATCTCACAGAAGAATACTGTACCAGCACTTCCAAACCATGGCTCCATTAAAGATTTAACATCTGAGGTCAGAAAGAGGTTTTCTTATTAAGCTGCCATCTCCTTTACAAAATAGACTATTTTGTACTTATTGCTACCCTTTGAACTCTTATAGTGAATAATTAAAACTAAACTGCAAAGCATAATTTGCGACGCTGAGTACACTGTAGATTGTGGGGTTTTGCTTAGCGGCTCATTTAAAATGCTCACCAATCCCCAGAGGGATAACCCTGCCATTAGTCTGAATCGACCAAGTTGGCTGGCCCCTAAAAGCAAGGCAGACAGCTCCAAATCATAATAAAATGGTCTCGCTGGCGACTCACCGTATTGACAGCGGGGTCCCTGAAAACCCTCGGAACACTGGCACTGCCGGACTTCACCCTCTGAGCATCTCTCCCCATGGAAACAAGTCCCCACTGCAGAGACAGCTAAAAGGAAGGTACACAAGAAGGCCAGGGAGGACAGAGTTGAGGGAAAGAAAGAAAATCCTCAAGGTAAGCACCAAGTTGCTAATATAGATACAATCTAGAAATTTCCACCAGCTCTTCCATAGCCCCTCTACAGAAAACAGTGTTTTCGTTACACATTAAGGCCTTGCTGTCTAAAGCCTTGCAGAACTCTGTATGTGGTAACATCTGCATCACCTTGAAGCTTGTAGAAATGCCCCACCCTGGACCTAGTGAATAAGAATCCACATCTTAACAAGCTGATCCTTATTCACATTCGAGTTTGGGTAGTAATGGCCTATAAGGGAAAAGAATCTAAAAAAGAGTGGCTATATGTATATGTATAACTGATTCATTTTGCTGTACACCTGAAACCAACACGACATTGTAAATCAACTATACTCCAATAAAAATTAAAGAAAAAAAAGAGTGGAATTAATAATAAAGGAACTCCATGGAGAAGATGACTGTGTAGCACAAACAATCTAAAAAACAAGCAAGAAATACGAATATTTACCAGAGGCAAAGGACTGTGCTAGGTGCCATACAACAATATAAAGAAATCATCTCACAGTCATTAATTTCCAGGAGTCTATAATATAGTTGAGAGGACATCGTGGGCAGATGTATTCACTGAGTTTAAGCCAACCAGCTGCAGTGGCCTAGCACTGCGTGCAAATACAGTGACCCCCTCAACACTAGGCCTGCTTACTATGGGAAGCCGGAGGCAACTTCACTGAGACAGTTCGAGAGAAGAAAGCATGGTGGGGAGGGAAGCAGGCTGCCAACAAACTCCCGCAGGTGCAGGATAACAGGAGAGATGAATTGCTGTGCTGTGGTCTGCACTGACTGCAACACACTGAAGCATTTTAAGTGACTTCACAATAACCATAAACACATAGGTAAAGGAGTCGCTAAACAGAGCCATTTCTCCTGGCGTGAATGAACTATGTAATGCCACTAGTTCTGCTGCTTGAGGGCTGTCAAATATACTCCAAAGGTTCTGCAGTACCCTCAACCAGAGGTTTGTAAAAGGACTGCATGCCTCATCTTAAAAAGTAAACTGCCTCCCGAGTTCTGCAATTAATCATGACAAGCACAAGTCAAGAAATCCCATTTAGATTTCGTACAGTGATTTCCCTCCGGACTTTTGAATCAGCTGTGGATTACAAATTTGATGATATGGGAAAGGGGCGAACAGAAAAGGGAGACGGAAGCTTACAAGGTGTAACCCGTCTGGCTTTAAATAAACTGTCTTTTACATAAAGAGACAGAATATAAAGCAGCAGTTCTATGGGTCCTGAATTCTGACCTATCATTAGCAGCACTTAACAGAAAGGCTCTTTGTGCATTTCTGCACATGTCATGTGTGCATTTTCAGTCCAAAGAGATGCTCTGAATCTGTGGTGATTCTAAAGATGCCTAAAACTTGACAGGCATGATATGATTGAAGCCCAAAACAGAGTGAAATCACTACTTCTAGTGACAGAGAGTTAGACAGGAAGAATTATAACTTACAGCATAGACAGCCAGGTTCATTGTCCTGCCAGCTCCAACCAGGGCAGCGCCTGTAGATGGTCTGCCGCTCCATGCTGCATGACTGTCTGTAGATGGTGTAGTACCGGGTCCTAAGAAATAGGAATCTAGATCAGTCATGCTTCCTCTTCAGGCCAAAGCTGTCACTTTAAACTCACTAAAAAATTCTCCCTGCAATCCAAATCCTGCCATTTATACACACACACAAAAATATATTATCTGTATACACTATACATGCACTCACGTGCGCGCGTGTGCACACACACACACACACCTCACTAAATATATAACCAAGATTCAATATAGGTATAGGTTATTGAAAATTAAGAGGGGCCTCCAGTCCTGCAGCATAAACTTACCTAAGGGTCACTAAATCAAAAATGGAACCCAAAATTATGAAGAGGATAATGAAATCCTGGAGGATAATAAGGCACATGCTTTTCAATTTGACCGTGAAGGCCCCTCATGTATTGGTCTCGTGATAGTGTGCATTCTCAACAGTGGTGACATCACCCACAAGTGGGGGGACAATTGGTTCTTGGGTAGGAGCGGTGAAATATAATCTTTAATACAATGGTCTGTGGTCCTACAAACCAGCAGAGTTCACAAACAGAAACAAAGTATATCTGTGGTATTAAAACTTCATGGGGGAGGGGGATGATTACTAAAATTTAAAAAAAAGCTTGCAAAGGTTCCTTAGGGGGGCAATAATGAACAAAAATTGAAAACACTACACTATTAACTATTTGTGCTGACCTCTTAATAGACCATAATACCAAACATCTCTAAACTGGCTTACATCCTTTCTATCAAATTGATGTCATATTTACTCTTTATCCCCAAAGTATTATATTCTCTTCCTTTCACATACCTATCCTCATATCCCCAGCCCAAATCCCCTTCATATTCAATGCCATTTTCAAGTTCCACTTCCTCCAACGTCTCTTTCCCCACCATGTCAATGTATATTGTTCTTTCTCTTCTCTCAAAAATAGGATTTAATGTCAATTTTTATGACACAATTATTCACCATCTTGAAGTGTCATCTAATATTTTGGAGGTGCATCTCTTCAACAGGGATATAAGTGTAGCTTTGCAAACTTACATACAAACAAAAGGGATATTAGTTTGGCAAAAATGTCAAACATCTTTTAACACTGCCTCAACTCCAAACTCAGTTTCATAAATACTTGCTGAATAAACGGATGTATAAAACTATTAAGCTCTTGAAAATAAATAAAACATGTTTTACTTATTCATGTTTGCTTTCCCAAGTCTGAACGTCTATATGGTAGTGGACTTTCTTTGGTTCAGTGTAATATCAACAATGATTAAACCTCATGGGATGAATACCAAGAAATCTAAATGAAAAGCTATTTTCAAAAACAGGTACTCTAATACCTACTATGTACCAAGCATTGTGCCACAGGTGTTAAATATGTTTTCAGTTAATCCTCATAATATCCATGTGTGGTATTATTTTTCCAACGTTACAGACTAAGGCACAGAGAAATGTAGGAACTTCTACCAGTGCCACACAGCCAGTAAAAGCCTGAAGCTTTTTCTGATTTAAATTTAATTTAAAGGTCCTGAGTATAGACCAAAAAAAGACTATTCATCTGAAGATTAAAAATACACACATACAATGTATATGTAAATCTCCATAATTATAAATGATTTAATCTTATTTTATTTAGTCCTATATTATCAGTGTTCTGCCATTTCTACACAATGGCAAACCCAGTTATTTACAAATGCCCTCAACTTTCTTTTAGTAATCGTAGTAGTAGTAATAATAAGAATAATAAATTCATTAATCTAAAGCCACACTTTTTTTAACTTTGTTTCCTGATTTCATTTTACAAGTTTTAATGTGTAAAACCTGAACACATTAGCAGCTATTTGTGTTAAGAGGTACTTAGATATTTTATAAAATTATTTTAAAACTTTTTTAAAAAAGTCCCTGTGAAGGCTTCATGCATAGAAAGTGCATACTTGCTTTATCTCTCCTCTCCCAGCCAGCCCAGTTAATCCTAATTCAAATGCCATAATAAAGTTAAAGAAGCTCTAGGTTTCAAAGTGTTACAAGAGAACCAAGGGCAGATGAGATGGTTCACAGTCATAGATGCCCAGATCTAAGTCATGCTAAATTTAGCAAACCAACACAATATTCCTTGTTTCTCTCAAGCTTCTGATCTCCAGCTTTCAAAAGTTTATCATGTCAAGGGGTAAAATTAGTGGCATCTAACCCCAAGTAACTCACACGTAAAACGAGGCATGAACGAAAGTAATAATATAGCCTGTTTCTGAAGGAAAATATATAACTTTGAAAGTTCCTGGTGGGCATAGGTTACACTCATTTACTTAATTATGTAGTTATTTTCTAAAATTTATTGGATGAAATCTTTAGATGCAGTTGAGGCTTTGGCTTTGATTTTCAGGAATCAAAAGGACATAGCAGGAGCACCCTTACCTTCTTTCGTAACTCACACACCACCATGGGCCACTGTAGCCGTTTCCAGATCTTGATGGTGAGTGTGAATGCTTGGACACATGGGTATGGTATGGGTGGGTATGCAGCCCACCACAGTCAGCTGCTGTTCTTCGCAAACATTTGGACTTGAAAAAAAAGAGAATAGAAATGTATTAAAAATAGATTACTTCTTTATGTTTTATTTATGAATCATTTGCTCCTTCATTTTCCACAAAAAGCTTGTGGTGACTTACATAAAGTAGGAGAGAAAAATACGGGCAATGTAAAAAAAAAAAAATGCAGGCCCAGGAAAAAGAAAAATCAGTAGATTTTAAAAACAAGGAAAAATTTAGAAGACACATATAAAAGTCATAAGTTCCCATGTGCTTGAGAAAATTGAGCTGCAAATTAAGTTCTGATCTCTTTGGTAACCAAAATACCTGAAGAAACACAATTGCAGGATTCCCAATATCCATGAAGAAAAAAGGCAGGCTGATTCAACAAAAGGAGTTAAATTTTTCCTGGAAATTATTCCTGAACAATATCTCCATCGACATGTTTAGTTAATTCAGGTTCACCCATAATGCTCATTTAAATACAAATACTTTTCAACCAGCACCATTATATCAATATTTCCTTATAGAAAGTTTATACAAATTTACAGGATTTTAGATATATTATCTTTAATTTTTAAATGTGTACAGCTAGATAACACTCATCACCTGGAGTGTCAGAATTAAATTCTTTTGTAATCTGAGGAATGCTTTACTTAGTGATGAATGATTTACTAGTCCATACCAATGGCTTTGCTTTTGAAAACAGCACTAATTATAAAGCCATTTGGCCCAAACACTCACACTTTTCATGCACTCAAAGTCACTTGCATGCCGTACACTGACCTCCCTAGGGTCAGACTTTGACGTTCCTTTTTCGCTATCAGGAAACTCATAGTCTAGTTGAACTCTCCATATTCATAATCTGCTGAAAATAGAAATGATTTCTGATTCAGGATTCTAGTCTGTCTCTAAACAACTGTGTGAACCTGTCCAGTGTTAACACTGATAAAAACAGCTAACAGCGATTCCTGCACTAAAATCACTCACCTCACCCTCCACAGCTGCAGTCCGTTTTTGTGATCACTTCTTTCTGAGGGTCTGACTAAACCTCACCCTCTGATTTCACTTACAGTCCAATCCTCACTTCCAGATATATTTCTGAAAGGTAATTTTTTTGGACTGTTAACTTCACCTAAACTGAATAAAATTCATGTTGAACGTTATTTATGAGTTTGCATAGCACATTTTAACACTTTAGGTAAATACTGTAATAAAACAATAAATGTAAAAACTGCACCTAAGTCGGGCATCCATGCGATCATCAAGAATTGGGCATTGGACCTAAAGAAAACTTAGCTTTTAAAAATGCCGTATAAGATTGTCTCTAACCTGCCTATATCTCCACCCTTATATGGGCTTATGTGTTTTGCGGGAGCCAACTAGCCCCAGTTAGAATGAGCTCACCAAACATTTGCTTTTTCAGTCAACAGTCTGAAATGTTACACTTCATGCAGCCTTAAACTCTATTTTGTAACCTACTCTTTATCTATTTTTCCATTTATCCACCCAGCCAGCCAGCCAGCCATTCATTCATTCATTCATTCAGCAAATACTGTCACCTACACGTGCCAGAAGCATTGCCCACTCCCACCCCTCACCCCCACCACCAAGGATTTAAATATAAGTCGTCTATTTGGAAAGTGCAGAAAACATCAGTAAGGAAGTGGTGAAATGAGACAGTGAAGGGGAGTTAGCCAAGAAAAAAAGATGCATTACTGAGCCAGCCAACTTTAGCTGACGAGCTCCCCAAATGGGGGAGGGAGACTGGGCATTTATACACTAATTCCTATCAGTGACTGGTTGAGGGCTACTTCCTCTCCAGCATTTCAGGCAGAAGCACAGGTAGGCAGAGTCAGCTTCCAGAAACCAGAATTAAGTCTTCAGGCACAGAACTGCAAATGCTAGCAGTTGGAAGCCTGCAGGTGAGCAGTGATAAAGGAGAGGGACTTGGGTGCTGCGCTGACAGTTTCAGCTGCAGGTGGTACAAACGAAAGAAAGGCCATATTCAGTTTGCACCAACAATCTAAGTAGAAGGGAGAGTAAGTAAAAGCACCTCAATAAATACAAAATGTGAAGTGCTAAGATGGAAACAATCAGGGGACTGAAACAGAGATAGAAGAAGCTTGCTAAGATTCATTAATTAGGAAAGACCTCTGAAGAGGTGACACTGTGACTTGAAAGGGTGAACAGAAGCCAGCCACGGGAGAGCCAGGGGATGCCATTGAGGTGGAAAGAAACAGAATGAGCAGAGGCTCTAAAAGGGGAAAACGCTTGGCCTCCAGAGATCTGAAAGAAGGCCAAATTGGCTCAAATGATGAGATGCTTGGTAGGGCAAACAGGGCCTTTCAGCTGAGGGGTTTTGATTTTATTCTCAGGGCACTCAAAGCCACAGAGAGTTTTTATTCTGGTCTCATTTCCTACAGACGGAACCTGGAGATGAACCCGTGATCCTCTCTCATACCAACTCTCCTCCTTGATAATGACTTAGGTCATATCTGCTCCTGCGCACTAGTGACAACCCAGCCCAATCCAGCAATGGGCCCCCAAGTCTCAGGAATCCACCAAGCCTTCCTTGGGGTTTTCCTGATTACTACAAAGAAAGAAGTCCCCAAGGGAACTCTGTAACCTTCAGAAGACCAAAAACCAGCAGCACCAATGAACAAGAAAAGGCACGGCACAAATTTTATGCACCAAGAGGAAAATGTATTAGACTAAAGTTTCTAGAAAAGTATATGTAATCCAGATTGTCATCAAATAATTTCGCTCTAACATCATAAGAAATGTTAATGTGACTTCAGAACCTCACGTATTATATTACTGAACCATAGCTAACAAGCAACATAGTTTTGGATGAGATGAGTGTTTATTTTAGGTTAATTCATGCTAGGGAATGTTTTGGTAAAGCAGTATCATCCTTGACTCCTAAGCAGATGTGGCTAAATAAAATCAGTCACTTAGTTATTCTGCAGGTGTCCTGGTATATTTCGATTAAAAAAATTAAGCTCCTTTCGTAACGTTGAAAGCCATAAATGCTAGTAGTAAAGAAGCTTGAACAATGAATAAATACAGAAAGTCAAGTTTGCCCCTAAGATGCTCCCAGATATAACCACTGCTAGTAATCTGATATATTCATATCCAATTCTTTGTGGGAGCACACAAACATATTTTTGCATAAATGGGATCATAATCTACTATTTTTTAGTTGTATAAAAAGTATTTTTAACTTATCAAATAACATGGTATAAATACTTTTCCATTTTGAAATTTATAGAATTACTTTAACCCTTTTTTTTTCCAGAGTATGGACTTATCAGAATAATATAGCAGAATTTAGCCAACATCCTATTGATAGACATATAGTTGTTTCTAATGGTTTGTGACTGTAAACAACTCCGATGTCAGTCTCCTTATATAAACAGCTGAATTACAGATTAATTATTTTTTATATTTTCCTATGAAATATTTGTTTCTTCTGAGTCCTTTCAGTTCAGGATTTTTTTAGCCTCTCTCTTCTGTTTTAGGCTTTCTCAAGTATAAGGTTATCAGTGCCTGTCTATATTTAAGCATGAGGCCCTAGAAGCTGACTGGGAGCTATGTGTGATAGAAAGGGCTTACAATTGGCGGACTCACTGTTAGGTGACTAGGGGTGAATTTTATTTTTGAGAAGCTCCTGGATGTCAGCGTATGGAAATCTGATTTTTAGGGCCATTCACTTTTTCAGAAAAGTAGTTCCAATTTCTTGCCTGTGGAAGCAGACAGCTTGTGGCTGGTGCTTGGGGACCGCCTGTGGAAGCAGACAGCTTGTGGCTGGTGCTTGGGGACCAGACATCGCAAGAGAGCTATGTTTTTAGTCCATATCCACTCCTAGACAGTGTCAGTCTGCACCCCTTCTGCAGCTTCTCTGGTTCTCGTCCTCCAGAGGAAAGAACCAATCCAACTTCTCTCTCTCTCTCTCTCTCTCTCTCTCTCTCTCTCTCTCTCTCTCTCTCTCTCTCTCTCTCTCTCTCTCT